TCTGGGGAACTGTGCCCAGATAAATGGCATCTGTAGCCCTCCCCTGGCCCACTGACAGAGTTGCTCCATTATCAAAGGCCAACCCAGAGAAGGGGTTGGCAGGACTTGCCCTTGGTGGAGCCATGCTGGCTGTCCTAAATCACCTCCCTGGCTTCCATGTGCCCTAGCACAGCTCCTAAGAGGATCTGGTCCATGATCCTTCCAGGTATGGACTGAAGTCAGGATGACAAGCTGGTAGTTTCCAGTCCTCCTTTCTACCCTTTTTGAAATGGGTACAAAGCTTCCCTCTTCCCAGTCACCAGGGACTGCCTCTGATTGCCATGACTTTTTTGAGTGTCATGGAGAGTGCCAAACACTCTAACAGCACTGTAACCCCTTTCTTCTATAAATACATCTCCAGAGACTCAGTTCTGAAACACATTTTACAAAAGCATCCGCTACCAAAACACTACAACTTGTTCTTCTGTGAGTTGGGAGGGATTCCAAATCCATAAAAATCATAGCTATTTCCTAATCCCTAAATAATGAACTAAAAATCTATCATTTCTCATTGACAGTAACTCTCATAGGTCTATATATATATCTAAATGTAGATCATTTTCTATGCCTAAAATCAAGCAGATGCATGTCTTAAAATTGCAGTGACCAACTGATCAACAAAGCTGACCACCTGAAAGTGAGACTGAAGTTATATGTGAAGAGAAGATGGCAGTCAAGGCAGTTGGATCTCCATGATAATAAAGACTTCATTATTCATTCTTGTTTCACGTTCAGGGGAACACAGGTACAGCCAAGGCAAATGATGCCACTGCCAACTGAGGAAGGCAGTCCATTTCAACAGTTCATATTTAAGAAAAAAACATTAAGTGAAGATTGAATTAATTGCATTCACTGTGGTCAGTTTCTCAGGCAAATGGTAATAAAAAGATGCTTACAAAGGCTGTTTCCTAAATCAGACAAAATCCCTTATACTCACTCCCACCCACTGGAGGCATAAATAGAAGAATTTTAACAGTGGTAATGAGAAAATGAAGGAGTTTTGGCACATCTCAAGAACAACCTAATACCTACTATTATGCATACTTTCAAACCTATGGTTTCCAATAAGCACATTTCATCTCTAGTAAGAAAATTCTCATAGCATATGCAGGAAATTCACCAGAGTTTCATTTCCAAAGATGCTCATTCTAAACCCAAAAGCTTAAATCTATGCAGCAACCCTAAGCATCTGAGGCAAGTCGGCCAACATGAACACTGTCAGCACCCTTCTGGATATAGGATGAGGCAAGGGTTTGAAAGCAAAGAAAATAAGGTTAATTGATAGCTTATCTCTTATTCTTCATGTGGAAGGACTAGTAAATACTGCCTGAGGCCAAACTGCAAGAGCCTAAGAAAAAAAACATTCACATAGCTTTTAAGTTTTTGATCATTACTGAAGTAGTGACGCAAACAAGCAAGTCTGATTTGTGGAGACTCGTTAGCCTTTTTATTTAGAAACCTCTTTAAAAATATGTATTTTTAAGTATTTAGATGTTCTGCAACCAAGTATTAAAAGTTACACAAAAAATCCTACAAAATAACAATGGTGATCAAAATGGGGATGATTTCCAAAATATTCTTCTAAAATTTGCCTTAGATAATCAACAAAAACCATTTTCATTCATAGCCAATGTTTAGTAAATTTTTCCTACTTCAAATTAAGAGGAGCAAGTCTGTACAGATTTGCTTTAAAATATATACATGACTGCTCTGTTTAAATATTATAATTATTGACTCCTTGATTTCAGCATTTTAGTACAGGAAACGACCACAAACCTCCGAGCACCATACTGAACTACTGAAGCTATCCAAAATAGCACAGAGCAATTAGACTTTTGAGAGAAATAAATCAAAATCTCTCTTTTGTATAGAACATCTATCATTGGTAGTTCCATGCCTTAAAAATCTCAAGTGTCACAAAATGATGCACAGGCTCATCTTTTAGCTGTTTCACACATCACATGTATATATTTAATTCATGCAACAACACACGCCATCTACCAATTTCTTCAGTATAATTGAGTTGTTCACACAAGCAAAAACCACCTTTTCAGCAGTGCATGCCTTTGTAATCAGTAGTTAAGTATTAAAATCTCTCTAGCAAACAAGATACAAAATCATCAGCATTCTTTTGAAGAGAAACATTTCTACAATAGAGAGACAAGGAAGAATGCAAGCACTGGAGTTAATTACCTTTTACTACCCTTCATCTGGGTACCACTGCCAGTATTGACGACTGACTGCTGATAAGTTATCAGGTGGTAATAAACATGGGGGAGGGGTTAGGGAATGAATACTTGAACTAAGTACATTCCTGAAGAACTAACAAGAATGTGAAGGTGAGAGGGATTTAACAAGCTGGTGTGCTTCCATCACACAAACTGCAGCAGTTAGTGAAGGGAGCTCACAGCACCAAGAACTTTATGACAAACTGAAGTAGGTGCTCAGACACAGAAGTACATCCTGGGAAACTTCAACAGAAAATACAAGTAGGCAAGGCTACTTAAGAACCAATTCACTACTCAGCAATTTGTGCCTCAGCGTATTTCCTCTTAACATTACACAAATAGTCACTTAATGGATCTGTAATGATTTTCTTTTGTGTAAGTATTCTTTACAGCTCTTCATCTTTAAGGTACTTCAGACACCAATGCCTGGAGCATTATTAATTAAAAATGTTGCGTACTCCATTAATAATATTGTGTATTTATCTATATACGTGTATGTGTGTACACATGTATATATATTTTTTTGGCAATATGAGTATTCAGGGCCAAATAATTACTTTGTTGCACATAATTAAAATCTAAATGGTCAAAAACAAACATATGACAAACGTGCTAGAAATATGCTTTGCATTTGGATCACACCATGTTTCAGTCTGGTAGTTCTGAAGTCTTCTGGGAAGCAGGTATTAACTCAAAATACTAAAAATTCTCCACATGTGAGAAACTTATTTTAACAACTCTCTTCATCAAACCCAGCATTTACATAGCAGCAGTTGATACAAAACCAAATTTCCATAGAAAATAGTCCAAATTTATTGGAAGCTCAATTTAATTTGAACCCTGACTTTTACAGGGTTTATAAACTAAAATACAGGTATAGGGAGTAGTTTTATACTTGATCAACACTCAATACAACTAAGAATGAAAAACACAGAAGCCCAACACAGGACTCCAGCAGTGCTGTGATACACTGCTACATTTCAAGTTAATCAGAATTATTTAATAAACATTGGCAACTCAAAATCTCCTAAAGATGGGGAAAGGAAGGGTAATCAGAGTAAAGCTACCAGGGTTAAGAAAAAGTCTCACATTGAAAAAGTGGTATTTCCCTTGGCTTAAGATTTTTAACTTGAAGTTATATTAATATGAAATTATATTCTCTGTAAAAAGAGAATGTTTGTTGCTTGGAAAGAAAAATAGTAATGAATTCCTAGAAATGTATTTTTCTTTAGACCAGCCCACACTCAAAAGTAGTGAAAATAAAGTTCAAAAACAGTAACAATGAGAAAGAACATAGTTATTCTACTTTATGTACAATTAACTGTATTTGCAGGAGACAAACTGGAATATATAACTAATCTGCTACATATGTTTTCATATAAAGAGCTAAAGATTTTAAGAGAATGAACACATCATTTTTGTCCTCTCTTTGTAAACTGCAACAGGACTTCTGGTTAAGATAATTCCTACAAAGAGTAAAGAGGACTTAAATTGAATCAGAACACAAGAAGTAAATAAGTGCATGTATTTCCTTTCTAGAAAAATAGGGTAGCAAATCTGTATGTAATGGCTGACCTTGTTCATGACAAGAACTTTAATGTGCAGTGGATCTGCATGTATTCTTAAGGGATTAAAAAAACCAGCTATCATGGTAAAGAACACCTTGTGCTTCCCCATCCTACTATGTCCAACAAAAGACTACCAAGTGGAACACAGAAGGCTTGTAAAAGAATTAAGCAATTAATTCATAGGAGAAAATAACAAACTGAAGGTTCATGTAGGGGGAAATAGAGTAACTTGGATCTATATAGCATCTAAGCAGTAAACCTCAGTAGACTTTAAAAAATAAAGGTGAACCATCCCTGTTAAAACATATGTTCACTGACTTGCACACAAGACTTGATGATTCCCCCAGCACATCAGAATTTTTGATTCACATTCAGGCAGACATTCAAGGACCTTAACAATGTACATTTCAGTAAGGAAAAAAAAATACCAAACAAAATCAGATAAACCCAAAATAACCAGCACAGGATGGAAAAATATGGAGAAATTATATTATGCTTTTCTATACCATTGAACCCCTTCACATCAAATGTTTGGTTTTTTTTTCAAAATGGTAGACATGCAATCCATCATTCTTCAGTGATAATAACAAACAACAAAAGCATTCAAAGTGAAAAAAACAATGTTCTTATACTTTATTTTGTATGTTTCTATGGCACTACTATTACTGCTTTGTCAGCTTGGAAATGTTCCACAGTAAGCAGCCTACAGCAGAAAAGCAGGTCTAAGAACTAATCAGAACTATACCTGAACAAGTCTCAAAGAAGAGAGTCTAGCTTCTGGATTTCAGCAATGAAAAAGTAAAGAAGTGAACATGCATCAGGTACGAGAAAAAAATTAATGGTTAATAAATAAAAAGAAGGAATGAAAAGACACATGAACAACACCAAGTTAAATTAACATGATCTGCAATTATCTAGGTACAAACACAGAACAGCCACTTGCATTTACTAGCAGAACATGAAGTCACAGTAGGTTACAAAGTCAACATGCCAAACCAAACGAAAAGAGCAGCTAACATCATCCTATTGCACACTTAGGACAACCAGCTGAAACTACATGCTAAGCATGCTACAAAATACCTTCTAGAAGCTTAGAGGAACAGGAGGTTTCTGAGTCCCAGCCTACCATGCTGACACTTTGGCCAGAGAAGCTGGATGTGCTTACCTCCTGTAGGAGATCTGCTTGTTCGATGGCTTTAAGAACATTTTTCTTGGATGTCTCCTGAACTTCCCCTCCTAAAAGGAACTCATCCAAAATGAAATAGGCTTTTTCAAAATTGAAGATGATATCAAGTTCACAGACCTAAAAAGAACATCAGGCATTATTGCAAAGTGGAAGGATACTCTCACTTGAGGTATATCCTCTCACAAAACTTGTTCACAGCTTCACCAAACTTTACCAAATCAAGATGTTAGCCTAAGGCTGTAACCTTGTAAGGACTGGGGCAATAATAAAAACCACATCTTGAAGGAAAAAAAAAACACCATCAGATTTTTTCTTCAGTTAAAAACAGCTACAGCAACCTCTGAAAAAAGCTTTCACTGTTAAAAAGGCTTCAATGCACAGCAGTCTGTAAGACACAGCTCCTCAAGACACAAGAGAACATTCCCTATAGAAGTTCTCCTGTTGCCTGCAGTATGCAAAGGCAGCTCACACAGTCTTACAGAGAGATATGAAAATAAACAAATCTCATTTCTTGTTCAGTCTGCATTTCATAGTCAGAAGGACTACCAAGGAAGGCAGAATGAGCAGCAGTTCTTCTAGGAGTGTTCATGTACATTGCTGTAGCAGTTTGTGTTTGCTGTCTGGGTAAGCAGATGTCCCTCACACCTTTCCTTACCATTCCTGCCACTTCACAACCAACTGCCTCCTCTGGAAGCAGATGTAAGAGGTGCTCACACTAGAGTAGTGCCAGGGGAAGAAAAGCCTCCTGGTTAAGAGTAAGATTTTATCTGACCCAAGTGAGACTACTATAAAATGAAACAAATACAGGCAATTAGCACCAGATTAATGAAAGTCCTATAAATCAATAATTTAATTCTGTATTTTAATAGAGGCAACCATCAGCTTAGTTTGCCCAAGCAAGCCACACAGAAGTATTAAACACACCTTTTCAATTACTAGCTGGTTATGTTCCTGTAAAAATGTTGTGGGCATAAAAAGAAATGCCAAAGCATAAAGAAACTTAACTCACACTGCCAAAATACTTGTCAAGAAGTTCTACATAGCGATGAATTATTTCCAGAGTTATTAGTTCATTGTCCTGATCTTCAATAGCACAGCAGAAATAGAGGCTTGCATATCTGTAATAACAAAATAATCCTGATGTTAGCATACACACATAAGCAAAATGAGGAGTATCACATTCTCAGCAGTCCTTCATACTCAAGTTCAGTATATTGGTATCCAAATCACAACCAAGCAAGTCTTGCCAAAGAATGGCTGACAGACCAGAAGACACACACATGTACATGGGAATTATGTCTTTGAGTCAAGCATGACTTCACTCTTGACCATCCTTTAGCTGACAGAACTAAAATAGCCAAAGAGATAGTTGGAAAACTAAATATGTTTGATTTGTGGTATCATGACAGAGTTCTAAGATGACATATCTTCTCTTCTCTATCTAACATCCACACACCAGTATATTAACCAACTGATCCCATGTTAAACTTTCATCATGTAAGCTATACACAGATAATAAAAACCATTATGCCTCAAGAAAGATAGACTGAATTAGCAATTAGGATTTGGTCTTTATAGAGAATTTTAAAAACACAAAAACTCCAAAACCAACACCAATGTCATCCACCCCAACTACTACTAAGCCAACAATGCAATTCCTACTAACTGTCCTAGCATCAGACTGATGAGAGGCCATCAAATAGTTTCTAGCAATCCACTTCCATCTTGGAAGACAGGAAGTCATAACTTCAGATATGATCCAGTTCCACTTTAACAAAAAGACCACCCAATTCTATTGTGCTCTATTATATATTTGTTCAAGCCATGTTTAAAGAAACCTAATAAAATAAAAAAAAACAAACAAAGCAGGAATGAAAGCTGAAAACCCCATTTAGTCTTTTCTAATATGCCAAAACCATATGCCTTTCAGTCACACATGGCACAAACCAGATTTCAAGTGCCACCTGTTGTAACTGCTAATTTACATAAACCAGAAACAGCTTTTGTTTGCCTCTAGAGGGGACAACTGCCCCCATTAAGCACTCCTGTGCAGCCAACCCTACTGAAAAATAAGTCATCCAGATATGAACACCTAGTTTAAGGTGCATAGTTGTGTCCCATACAGAGAAATCCATCCATCTTTTAAACATTAAACATATTTTATCAGCTGGGACTTGTCAGACTTTTTAGAAGTTAGAAATTCTGAAAAAACCCAGCTGTATTTTCAGTTATGTTGAAATTCATCTCCAAGACACCTATCCAGCGCCATTTATGATCTGAAAATGTCCCCCCTTCTCCCCCTCTGCTCCAAATCAAATTGCTACGGCTTCAACATGAAAGACTAATCAGAATAGCTCTTATACAAAATCTTTAAACTACTATAAAATATTATTGCCTGTCCTACCACAAAACATGATGGGGGAAGACAGGAAGACACCTCCAGTGAAGGACACCTTCATTCCCTCTCTCTTTCATCTCTTCACCACAGGGATTCATCAGCTTATCACAAGTCCTATCTGAGCACAGTTCTTTTGATTCTGCATTGTTCTGTTTATGCCTCACTAATTTTTCAAGGACATTTACAGTCATTGCAGTAGCTTGCAACATTCAATCTGTATAAGGAACCTAAACTATTTTTAAAAGTATTGGAAAGAAATATTATAAAGAAAAAACATGCTTTCAAACTTACTGAGAAATCTGTAAGTCAAGCTCCATGTTATCATATTTCATTGTAGCAAAAAGGAGCATTAACACATTATTTGATATTTGCACTAATCACCAGCACTCAGGCCAAATCCATCTAAACAAAGCCTTTCATCACCTGCTCAAGAGCAGCACTGATTATGATGAAGTGCAGTTCAACTCTTTCCTTACAGTGCTTAAACACATGTTGAACCATGTACCAGCAGACCTTACAAATCAAATTTGACTCAAATATTTTAAGTTTATCCACATGGGAAACTCCATCTCTGCTCCTCTAGTACTTAGGAGTGTCTCTTGACACACAGAACTATTTTATGGAAAAAGAAGGGAGGAGGGGAGAGAGGGAGTCCAACACAAAATACTTTCTCAGAACATGGTCTGCTCTCAGTGTCCTCCTTTAAGAGAGCACAAAACATACTTTCAAAAGACTGTATTTGGCAGCTAGCAAGTAGACTGCACATTCAAGTCCTGCCAACTGCAGTTCTGGAGAAATAAGACCAAGAAACAAAAACTACTCAGTGGGTATCAACACAAAATGGAGGCAAGGGTATCTACTATTATATGCAGAGAATATTTTGGTATTTATTTTTTAAGTAGCAACCATGACTAATGGATCACTGCTCAACAAAAGCAAACAAATGCAGATTTAATGAGCCTGAATGGCAAAAGGCAGAAGAGTAAAAACAAGTCATACCAAAGGGCATGAGCATACTACAAAGGAATGCTTCAGATCCAAATTCTCAGAGGCATTATTTTAATTTTTTCCCCTGCAGGAAGGGCTTCAGAAAAAAAAAAGCCTGCACTTATAATCCACAGCAGACACTGGAAGTTTTGCCAAGTGCAGAAGTTGACATGGACAGTATTCACACAAAGACAAGCAGATTACTTGGGCTCAAAAAGATTTCTGCTCTGCAGAAACAGCTTCTTCTTAATGGGCCTGACAGAAACCTTTCTTATGCACCCAATGAAAAGGCAAATCCTGATAGAAAAGTACATTCCCAGAAGTAAATAAAGTGTAGTCTGTAAGAAACATTCTGCCATTTTTATTCCTATTGTAGTTCTGGTCTTTTTTTTTATCTCGCTAAACATTATTAAAATAATCATCAGACTCAATTCAGCTGCTTGCCCTCATTTAGGAAATGAGGGCAATATTTTATGATAAATATCCTCCACCTACCAGAAAGGAGACCAAAACCAGAGAGACCAAACAATGTTTGGATCAAATCACCTGAAAATGTAATACAGGATTAAAGAACCAAAAGGTAACACAGCAGGTATAAACACTTATGCAAATTCCTGCCTTCAGACAGATGGCCTCGAGATTTTTCTTTTCTGACAGGAAACAAATCCATGCATCTTTCCCTCAAGAGCTGCAATAATTCAGCAGTGGGAAGCCTCAAAACAGGCAGGCAATACTTCAGCAGAGTTCTCCTCTTCTGCTCTCACAGCCAGGCTCAGTAACTCTGCTGAGAGATCAGGTCACTGTGGGCAGAGTACAACTTACAAATCCTACCAGCTCAGAGCTGCTCTCCCTCAAGAGGGAACACCTCACCTGCTTCAAGTCATCCCTGCAAGCTCAGCACCAGCTAAGCCTGCAAACAAGCCATAAGTCTGTCAGCATCTAAGTCACTTGGCATGCAGATCCTAATTGTGGAAGTTTAAAGCTTACAAAGTTTGGAAAGAACAGAACTGAACTCTAAATGACAAGGAGGAGGCAGACAAGTGTTTAATGAGCCCAAGAATCTGTGGTTGGCTGATAGCTAACTCAATGAAAACTGGGACAACTAATATGCTGTGCTTGAAGTAAGGTTTTTTTCTTGTCCCACAACTTTACTCATTTCTTTAAAAAACCATGAACTTTGAGGCTCCAGGATATAGTCTATCAAAGTGAAGCACTTTTCCAGTTTCTTATTTCAGCAAGGCTATAGCCCCCAGCAGCTTCAAAAGGAACAATTCTGCTTATTCTCTAAGAAAAAGCTGTTGCTTCTTGATACTGAGGTCCTCCTAGTGCCACACAAACTAAAACTCTGTACAAAGAAGACTTGATCTAATTAAATTTATCCAGTCCAAGTATCTAATTCACAAAAATCATTGCATTCAGCCAGTTTTACAAAGCTACCTGACTAACATCACAGTAATACTTTGAAGAGGTACAACTGGCTGCTAAGTTATACATAAGGAAAAAGAGGGATCATGCCAAGCTGGGCACATCCCACTGGCCACATGGCTGTACCTTCAGCTCTCAACACTTGAAGAGACACAGTACCTGCACAATGGACTCTTTCATTGCTTCTTTCAGTGGAGGGAGGGTAAAAAGAAACTTTAAAACTTATTCTGTTTTGAATCTTTAACATAACCTCTGATTATGGTTATGTCGTGCAAAAGTAAAAGACAAATGCCACATCAAGAGCAGCAAAAGCTACTGTAGTTTCATAATATCATATTCCAAATACAGTTCCAAACTGACACATAAAAGCAAAGCCACAATCCTTAATCAAATAATTAAATAACTAAACTATGTCCCGTGGATGCAGCTAAACAAATGCTAACCAAGTAAAATTTATATAAAAGAGGTTTTTCTCCAAGTTCTGATTTTGACTCAATACACTACACTATGAAAATAACTCATATTGCCAAAAGTTACAATTGTGAACAGAAGTCTTCCAAGAAAAAATTAGAAATTTTAACACTTAACACATTTTTTCTGCCATAGGGGGAAAGCTGCAAGAACTTCTACCCTATATGCTCCAAAACCACTACGTTACTTTTTAAATGACAAACTGTGAACAGCAAACACATCAGCTGTGTTTGTTAAGTTTCTAATCAGCTGTCTGCAGATGACTCCCCCTCTATTTTCATAAACCATAATTGTGGTTGGCTTCCCATATTTAATTTTTCATTTTCCCAGCGAGTCATTTCAAATCTCTGTGCTTCTTGAAGTTAGAAGCCCACATTCTCTTTTTAATCTTCTGGTGTCTATCAGCCTGAAAAAACTATCTTCCAAAGCAGCTACAGAATACATAGAAGCCAATTCACACACCATGACAAAAGCTGGGCACCTTTCTGTCTGTGCTCTGTAGTGCTGAAGGAAAAAACTCTATAAGGCAATGACTGAGCCTGTGTTGCAGCCATTATAAATGGTACATGTATGAAACCAGAGGGAAATAAAAGCTACATCACCTACATTTAAATGAATTTTAAGATGTATTTCCTTAAAAATTCAGAAAACATCCTATAAAGAGAAAATGCTACAGAGCTAAGGAGGCTAATCAAAATAGCCCAGCAGTCTTAATAAATGTTAAGTATCATAAGGAAATTAAAGCTCCTGTCTTGCCAACTGCTGCATTTAACTTCATTTTATTCCTTCAAAAAGGTATGATAAGGCCCTGAATACATCTCTGATACTGCCAATCATTCTCTGAGCTACAATATCTAGGTTCAATTCTCCTACCTGTGAACAACAAACACACTCTAAAAGAGAAACAGCACTTAAATTCCAAGAATTTAAGATGCAAAATAGCAATAGGCACATACTTTCAGAACTTCTATTGTAAAACATTTGCACCAGCAGGTTCAGATCACTCCCAGCAATAGATCAGACAAGAACAAATCTTAGCAGAAATCCTCTGGAGATGCTCAAGAGGAACTGTGAGCACCTTTTGCAATTTCACAAGCTACAGAGTTCCTTGTGGTGTGTTTTGCTTTTAGCCCATCACCTTCTCAGCTACAAAAAGTCACCCTTCACAAAGAAATCATACTAGCTGGTGCTCATCATCTTTAACTATGATGCAGTGATGGGAACAAGTCCCACAAACCTAAGAGCTATTAGTGTTACCAGATACAGACATTTAAACTATCACCTCTTACACCTAGTCCTTCTGGTGATGTTTCAGTCAAAAAAAAAGTTGAGATGTTCATTAGCTTGGTACAAGCTCATCTTCAGCAGTTCCACAGGCTCTCTGTGCCAGACTGGTCTGCAGAGAGTGAAATAAGCTACTGCAGTCAGCTGTGCACACCAGCAGTCCAGCAGACAGACTGCAGTACTTAGACCATTTTTAGCCAGACATAGATGTCTCCCAGCAAATTTCTTCATTCTCCTTGACCACAGGACCCACAACACACCACTGAGATGCAAGAACTCCACAACAATCAGCAACTCAAACAGTCCTACCCCAATTTCCACCAGCTCCTGGACACAAAAGGACGTGGCAAGGAGTTAACAGCAACAAACAGGGAGGGAAAGCAGCTGTGTGGAAGCATCCCCACAACAACTACTGCTGTTCAAGACCGGGTAAGGAAGGAAACAGGCTGGCCTACTAACGTCTCATTTTTCTGATTTAGTCCCATGAATGCCCAGCTGAAAAGGCACTTGCAGGCATTAATATGGAAGGAAGCACACAAGTGTTTGAGCAAGCTTGTCTACATACATGTTCAAGGAGGTTTGTGAAGCAATCAAGAGGCAGGAGAAACTGTGTCTGCTATTAGCATAGCTTCATGCATTGTTTCTCCTCTTTTCTCCTGTGTTGAAGAACTGCATGCATTAGGCAGACCAGCAATGCTCACACATGTACCTTCACACAAACCAATGTATTTATGAGAGCAGCACTGAAAACATCTAAACATATTTGATACTACCCATTTGTTATCCTGGAGAAGAGTTACAAACTGCTCATTTCTGCTCCAGTCCTTTCTGTCCTATCTACAGGGAATACAACAATATTTTCTGTGGGGCACAAACTATCTACCATCTCCATGAGAAAACAGGAATGCATAAACACTCTCAGGTTTACAACTAACTAGGGAAGAGAGATAACTCAAGGCTTTGTAGCACCACCTTTAGCTGGGAGAGATGCAGCATACCACATCGGGAGGAGGATGACTGTTATTTCTGGAGAAGAATTATGCTCACACCACTACACTCTGATACATTCTAAAGATCAGCACAAAGCTAAAAAATGCCTGCCAAATACTCCGACAAAGGTTAGGGAACACCTGAAAAATGAAATTATCATGAAGAAAATTATACAGTACCTTCCATCAAAAGAAAGCTAGCCACGATTTTTTCAATAATGAAAAATCGCTTTTTGTACATACAGGGGGGAAAAACCCCCCAAAAAAGGCAATACTCAAACCAAGTACTATGAAAAACTATTTCCTTATTTCTAGAAGCCTTTAAAAGCAAGTTACATTTCCAGGTGATTTATGAAGCTACTTCTTGAGGTAAATATTTATAAAATTTTTATCACTTATTAAATCTGAAATGTGTACAAATAGGAAGCATGTATGTACTGCATGACTCTAAACAGACTACCAAGAGGAACTGCCACTCCTTATAAAAATAGGAGGAAAGCTCATTTCTTCAGTACATTTCTCAATGCATGAGTGATTTTCCACACATGAATGACTCCCGCTTGGTTATCAAATTAGATGCAAGAGAAAAGTCAGTCTTCTCTGTAACCAGCAGAGGGAAGTAAAAAAAAAAATTAAAAAAAAAAAAACAAAACAACAAAACAAGAACAACCTTCATTATTTTCTTGCTACTTAACACACGGTTTGTAATGTATGGCAATTACGAGGTTAGTGAGACAGAACCACCTTTTGTAGACAATCTTCAGGTCTCTCCATTCCAGGAAGCTGCACATTTTCGGTTTGCGGGCTAATACTGTTTGAACAAGTTCCCTTGTGATTTTCTTCTTTTCTTTGTCAGATAATGGGACATACCACTTCTGGAGTCTCAGTTTCCCCTGGCGACTAAAAAGCAACATAAACTGCATCTGTTGAATTGGAAGGAGGGGAAAAAAAGAAAAGCATTAATCTCAGTCTCCGAGTTTCGAAAGATCTGAGAAAAACCAAGCAGGAAGCAAGTCGGACATCCAAAACTCTATAACTATTTTATGTATTTCTATAGCACTGGCAGATGTTACACAAGACTTGGAAGTAGCAATGATACAAAGGATTCTGCAGAGCAAGGTCAGTCAAGCCAAAGGCAGAAGAAAGCGCACACAAGTTTCTCAAGGGGTGTCAGAACCGCGGGCTGGGGAGTGAATACACCCCAATTTCAGACCAGCCACGTCCAGCACTCCTATGGTTTCATTTGCGTTTTCCACCCAAAATGACAGAAAAACAGCACAGCAGACTCTTCCAATACCCAATCTCATTTCCAATTCAGCCGATTAGAGCCTTAGAGGAGCAATTTGCACTTAAAATCTTTCTGAAAAGCCTCGGAATACTTTAAAAGACATCAAACCTCCCAGCGGAGAGTCCTACGGCACAGAAAAGCCCAGTCTTTTCCCACGTTACACAAAAGGAGAGATTAAGTGCTTTCCCTGCGGTCCTATGTTCCAGCTCTCGCTTCCTCTAACGGAGTGATGTTGCAATTATATTTTAAGAGGAACTTGCCGGGCTGTGTTTTCCAACAGAGGTAACATTAAATGAAAAGGCTCAGGCTTTTTTCTTTTGCCTTTTTGCTCGAAGTTGTATCAGGCTGGAGAAGTTTCCCAGGCAATATGACAGACATGAAATACGATGCTAAAGCCCAGCCTGGTCCCGGGTGACAAGCGTGACCAGCGCCAGCCGCGACGAGCGGCGGCCGCGCCCGCAGCGGCTCCGCGGTGCCAGGGCGGGGGCAGAGCCCCGCAGCCCCCGCAGCCTCCCCACATCCCGCCTCGCCTCCCCGCCGGCCCCAGCGCCGCCCCGGCTCCCCCGGCGCGGAGCGGGCGGCTCGGGAGGAGAGCCCGGCTGCGCGCGGCTGTGCTCACCGTGCCCGGGGATAGCGGAGCTGAGGCGGAGAAGAAGCAGGCACCTCTGCCCACAGCGGCACCGCCGATGTTGCCGCCGCGGCCGCCGAGCGGGACTGAGGGAGGGGTCGGGAGGGGACGGGAGGTGCCGCCGCCGCGAGCGCGCGCGCGCCTCAACGGCCGCCCCCCCTCGGGCAGGTCAGGGGCGGGGCCGGGACAGCGGGGGGGCGGGGCCAGGATAGAGGAGGCGTGGCCCGAGCGCCTCCGGACAAAACTTTATCAACGGCCGGGGAGGGGGGGAGCGGGGAGAGCTCGGCTGTCACCCAATCGGAAAGCTCAGCGCGCGGGCGGGGGGAGGAGCGAAGCTGTTCCGGACCAATGAGAGGCGGGAGAAGGCGGGGAAGGCGGAGCTGGTTTTGGCGGCAGGAGGGGCTGGAGCAAGAGGCGGGGTTTAGATGCCCTAATCCGCGTGGCCCGAATTGCGATAAGGCAACGGCCGGCGCGGCAACAGCCAACCAGGCGGCGCGGTGCAGATAGCGGTCCGGGAGCAGCCAATGGGCGGGCGCGGCACGGAGCCGGGGAAATGACATCAGTCAATCAGGCGCCCGGAGACTGAGGCTCCTCCCTCGGCCCCGCCAGCCCCGAGCCGGGGGGGTAAAGGCGGGGGTGGCCGAACCGCGCATGCGCCGCGCCGTGTTTGCTTCCAGCACGTGCGCGCCCGGGGGGCGGGGAGGGAGGGGGGTGGAGGCTGAGGGGGCGCGCGCCGGGCGGAAGCGGTGGGGCTGCGTGTGAGGGGAGCGAGCCTGGGAGGGGATTGTCCTTCTGAGGGGAGCGAGCCTGGGAGGGGATTGTCCTTCTGAGGGGACCGACCTTGTGAGAGGATTGTCATTCTGAGGGGACCGACTCTGTGTGGGGATTGTCCTTCTGAGGGGACCGACCCTGTGAGGGGATTGTCCTTCTGAGGGGACCGACCCTGTATGGAGACCGACCCTGTGAGGGGACCGACCCTGTGAGGTGATTGCCCCTGCAAGGGGAGGTTTTTCCCCTAAAGTCACCTTGATTGCGAACTGCAATTAGATTGGCAGGACCAGCCGCCGACAGGGATTTGGCGTTTGTTTGGTGTTGTGTTTCATTAATGCTTGGTTTTAAAATTATCATTCGTGTGTATCTACAGGGGCTTTGCGTGCTGAAACAGCTCACTTTGGGGGTTTGGTTGGTTGACCAGTTTTGGTTTCGTTGCGGGTTGGTGTTAAAATTCTAATGGAGGTGGGCTGAAAACACATTAGTTAGCTGGAAGAAACAGAGCGGTGTCTGCAAGACGAAGTCGGAACCCCTTATTATAAAATCAATGTTTCGAGCACCTAAAGCTCTCGGTATCGTCGCTGCTCACCACCACCCCCAGCAGTAAATGAACAGCGGAGCCCTGACCGAGCTGATCCGACAGTGGTGTGACAGTGACCGACAGAACCCGGGAAAGGGTCGTGCTCCCAAAGCAGCTCTCCCTCAGGAGCAGCTCGCAGCGCCTCAGGATGTGTCACGCTTTTATTACTTTCTATTATTGACACTTTAAATAAGCGCCCATTCTTCTGGCTACGAAACGGCTATGGCAGCAGAAACTGGGGCTGGAAATGCTTTTGTGTAAAAATGTGCATGGTCTGAAAGGAAAGCCAATTTTCTGGCGTTTCAAGGAATGCTGTAGTCAATTGCACTTGAGGAAAACTGCAGATGTATTCCTGATTTTATAGAAGAGGTTATAATTGTAAGAGTGAAGTGGCATGAGGACAAGGAGGCGTATGTGAAACCAAGCTGAATGGATCAGGCAATTGCAGTATTAGAGGTCGTGTAGAAAATGAGAGCTGCTGTTGTAGGGGCTTGTTCCTGTCACATTTAATGTTCGTTGAGCAGCTGTCCCGTTCTCATGTTAACCTGCCTTTCATCAAGCACAGGAACAGTTGTGTGTGGATCTGTTACCTCAGAGAGGCTGCCCTTACACCAGGCTGTCACTTTGTCCTCAGCAGTTGCCAGGCTTTGCGGTTCTCCTTCTTTCCTGTGAGGTTATTCCATGGTCTAAAATACCCTGTTTTTCAGAAAACTTTCATAAATAATCTCTTTCTAATCAGCACTTCGCTCATCTTTGAGTTCAGCATCGTGTATTTGGTGATTCTCTGAGTGCCTGTACACTTCAGGGGCTTTGAGACTTCTAAATCATAATTTAAGCTGGCAACCAACTTTTATTTCTTTTCATCTGTGCAACTTCATGTTTATTAGCATTGTTACGGTAATGTGAGCTCCAAAATGAATTTCTGAAGGAGTTACACCAGACCTGTGTTGTGATTTGTCACTTCCCAGCTCAGGGAAATATTTCTGCATATGGATCAAGCTATGATCCATATGCAGAAATGGAAAGCATGCATTTTACAAACAAACAAAAAGCTATGCATTTTACAAACACATAGTTGATTAAAATCAAACTACCCAGCTAGTTCAAGAAATGCTTATATTTTGGTGGCATAATGTCTTGAAGCTTCAGCTTCAGATTCTTTTTTTTGTTCCTCAGTCCTGTATGTTTTTTCATTTTTCTTCCTTTTTTTTTTTTTCCAGATTTTACTGCTCATTTACAGCGTATCATTTCATACAGTGATACAAGGGCAGTTGTTCCACTACTTTTCTCCCTTCTCTCTTTTACTTGGCTGGATTTCTTCAGATTGTAACCTGGAGTTTCTTCATGACATCTGGGCAGAATCACTCTGCTATACACAGTTTTGGGTGCTGTGATAAGGCATGTGAGCCCTGTGCTACATGCACTGGTGGAAGCACTGGTGGAAACTCTATCCAAGTGCAACTTGGCAGAAGCTCTTTGTCTTCCACAGCCTATCCTGCCTCCTCATCCCTATCTCAGACCGAGGATGCAATGTTCTCAAGCCTGCTGGGATTGCCACTCACATGATCATTCCTTAACTCATTTCTTTCAAAATGACCCTGCTTATTTTAGGCAATTTAAGGTGTGATTCCATGTCAGGTCATCTAAACACCAGCTTCTCCCACCCTCTCCTTCCATTCCCACCTCTGTGTTTCCATCACTTTTCCTGTTCTTGTACTTTGGTGCATCTCCTATTGCCAACAAGGCTGGTTTTGGCTGTACTGGTGACTGAGGGAGTTGGCTTCAGGACTGAGCACCTGTGTTGGGGGACAGTGACAAAGGTAATGTTGTCCTTTCTGTTCCTGCTGTTTCTTTCAGGAACTTCAGAGGACTTGCTGTTTACATATTTTTTTCAGTGTTAAAATTTGCACTAATTGTGCCTCTTAATACCAACTCCATCATTTTTTCCTCTATGACATTATCCTGTCACTTACCCATTGAACTAGAAATGTACTGAATTAGCTCTAATTATCAAATTGATAAAGATATATATGATGCTTACAACAATAATATGCCTTTGAGTATTCCACAAACCCGTGACAGTGCAAATGTCAATGCAGTCTAATTTTAGCATGACACAGTGAGTCTTCTGTTCATTAGCTTTTGTTCATTGTCTTATATCCTGCTTGATAATAATCCCCTGATTTATTTTGGATGGATTTTATTTTTAGCTGCTATAGTTGTAGAATCCTTTGTATAGTTGGAGAATCCTTTGTATTCCATTTTAGATGTAAGGCAAGTCTTCGGGGGATATGTTCATTGACCATAAGACATTTGGGGTCTTCAGCCAAGAGTTTGCTTTGTAAGTTATTTCCAGCATGACTTGAGACACAGAAGAGAGCTGCCTGGAGCTGGAGAGGGAGGCAGGAAGGAAGCTTACATCAAACAAGATTAAATTTGCTTGGGTTTGACTGCTGTGGTTTATGTCAATTTTGGTGGGTTGGTTTGTTTGTTTGCTTTTATTTAATTAGACTATAGTTGTTTTGTCTGCAATAGTGGGTCTTATACAAAAATTAATGCCATAACCTCCTGGCATTTGGCACTTCATCCATGTTGTTATTGCCAAATCTAAAGCTCATAAAATAATTTTGTTGTGTTTTCACTGTCAGCCAAAATGATGGGTAACATGAACTTTATAACATGAACTATTCAATAATTGCAATGGAAAATTTGCTTACTAAATTGTAACAGCTTTTTTTTTTTTTTTCCTTCACACGGTATTTTGTAAAGAAAGGGTTTGCTCCTGCCTCCTTTTCAGCCATCTCAGTACCTTACAGAGGAGGGCAACATACTTTAAGAGTAGATGCTGTGTTTTTGCAGTCCTCTGCTGAAGTAGGGTGTGGATGTGTGAGTAAGACTCACTTTACTGTTAATTTATCTTCTTGATGCTCAATATCAGGCTACATTTTCATCGACTGAATAACTGTGGAGTCATTATGAAGGCAATAAGAACTGAGTTACTACCCTTGGAAGTGATTGCTGCTGGATTTTTGCCTCTCAAGCCTCCAAACAGGATGTCACGTTCCTATATGCAGTTCCCTTCCCTCCCTGATGTGCTGTCTGAGTATTGGCCAAGCTATCAGTGTCCCATTATGATTCATGCAGAACACCAATCCCAGTGGAACCAATGGAAGTATAAATGAGACCACAAAGGACAGTTCTCATTGCTCTGCTTTTTTTTTTTTTTTTTTTACAGTGAGCAATCCCTCTTGATGAAATACTATTAAGTGCAATCTAGTAGCCTGATTGCTGTGTGCTATTAAATCATCAGATCGTGCCTGGTGTCCTTACTCCTCTGTCTTTTCTTTGTAGGGGTTACCAGTTTGCCTGTCTTCCTCTTTTAAACACAGTTGGTTTTCAGCAGACACATATGGCTCTCAGGAGCACAGATGCCAGGTCACATGTGTGACAGGCACAGCTCCAAAATAATATCATGGAGCTTTATCCCTGGAGCTAATTTTTCAGAGCTGAAGGCATCGTTTGAAGCTGAAGTGTGCAGCCTAGTTATGAGAATTACAGTCTAAACCATGCCTTACACGTGTCCTTTGCTTTGGAAAATAAAAACTTGCTTTTGAAAGTATCTGGATATGTAGAAATAAGGAAATGGAGTATGGTAGTTTTCAGTCAGTGAGGGCTTCCTCTTAGCTACCATATTTCTTAGCCTCAGCCTGGTGCAAGACACAGGAGCCATTTGAATAGGACATGCACAAACCAGCTGGCAGCACTGGCTGTGTTAGGTTAG